ATTTGGATTGAGATTGCATTGTATTTGTAAATTGCTTTGGGTAGAATTGTCATTTTCACAATGTTGAGTCTACCTATCCATGAGTATGGTATGTTTTTCCATTTACATAGATCTCTTTTGGTTTCTTGCAGTACTGTTTTGTAGTTTTCTTTGTATAGGTCTTTTACATCCCTGGTTAGATTTATTCTTAAGTGTTTTATTTTTTAGGGGCAATTATAAATGGTATTGTTTCCCCAATTTCCTTTTTCGTCATTCTCTTTATTGATATATAGGAGTCCAACTGATTTTTGTACGTTTACCTTATATCCTGCTACTCTGCCGAATCTTTCTGTTAGTTCCAGTACTCTTCTCGTGAAGTATTTAGGGTTTTCTGTGTGTAGTATCATATCATCCGCAGATAGGGACAGTTTTAGTTCTTCATTACCAATTTGGATGTCCTTTATTTCTTTTTCTTGCTTTATTGCTCTAGCTAGAACTTCCAGCACAATGTTAAATCAGAGTGGTGATAAAGGTCATCCTTGTCTTGTTCCTTTTCTCAAGGGGAATGTTTTCAGCCTCTCTCCATTAAGAATGATGTTAGCTGTTGGTTTTGTATAGATGCTATTTATTATATTGAGGAATTTCCTTTCTTTCCCATTTTATTGAGAGTTTTTATCAGGAATGGGTGTAGGACTTTGTCAAATGCCTTTTCTGCATCTATTGAGATGATCATGTGATTCTTTTATTTATGTGGTGGATTATGTTGATTGATTTTCTAGTGTTGAACCATTCTTGCATACCTGGCACGAATCCCACTTGGTCGTGGTGTATTATTTTTTTGATATGATGCTGAATTCTATTGGCTAGAATTTTGTTGAGAATTTTTGTATCTATATTCACGAGAGATATTGGTCTGTAATTTTCTTTTTTTGTGGTTTCTTTGCCTGGTTTTGTTATCCGGGTTATGCTGGCTTCATAGAATGAATTAAAAAGTATCCTTTTTTTTCTATGTTCTCAAATAGTTTGAGTAGTACTGGTGTAAGATCTTCTCTGAATGTTTGGTAGAATTCTCCAGTGAAGCCATCTGGGCCAGGGCTTTTTTTTGTTGGGAGTTTTTTAAATTACTTTTTCAATCTCTTGTCTTGTTATATGTCTGTTCAGATTTTCAACATCGGTTTGTGTTAGTTTGGGTAGGTAGTGTGTTTCTAGAATTTTCTCTAGGCTTTCAAATTTGTTGGAGTATAGTTTTTCATAGTACTCTGTTGTAATACTTTTTATTTTGGTTGGGTCTGTTGTAATGTCCCCCATTTCATTTATTTGGGTTATTTGCATCCCCTCCTGTTTTTGTTTTGTCAGTCTGGCCAGTGGTTTGTCGATTTTGTTGATCCTTTCAAAGAACCAACTTTTGGTTTTGTTGATTCTTTCTTTTGTTTTTCTGTTTCATTTATTTCTGTTCTGATCTTTATTATTTCCTTTCTCCTGGTGGCTGTGGGCTTCTTTTGTTGTTCTCTTTCTATTTGTTCAAGTTGTGTAGCTAATGTTTTCATTTTGTCCCTTTCTTCTTTTTTGATGTGTGCATCTATTGCTATAAAGTGACCTCTGAGTACTGCCTTTGCTGTGTCCCAGAGATTTTAGTATGATGTGTTTTCACTCTCATTTGATTCTAGGAATTTTTGGATTCCATCTTTGATTTCTTCTATTACCCAGTGGTTTTTAAGAAGGGTGTTATTCAGTTTCCATGTATTTGATTTTTTTTCTTTGCCCTTCCTGTTGTTAATTTCCACTTTGATGGTGTTGTGATCAGAGAAGATACTTTGTATTATCTCAGTGTTTTGGAGTTTGTTGAGGGTTGCTTTATGGCCTAAGATGTGGTCTATTCTGGAGAACGTTCCATGTGTGTTAGAAAAGAATGTGTACACACAAAAGTAATTAATCACACCACACTTGGGTTCAAATCCTGGCTCTGTAGCTTATTGTAATTTCGAGTAGTTACTTAACCTCTCTGCATTTAATTTATCACCTGTAAAATAAAAATAATAATATCTTTCTCAGAGGTTTTAGTGAAGATTGAAAAAAGTAATACAAGTATAGAAAGTACATTGGTTTTAATAAATAATTACAATTAGAAAGTGCCTTGGTCTGAATAAATAATTGCTATTATATAAGAAAATATCGGAGAGTCACTTTGCACAAGGAGCAGCAAGAAACTATCAAATAGCAGGTCATCGGATTTTTAGAATAATCTGTTTGAAACTACCAACCCCTATCCTGAAATTAAAATAAGTTTTAGTGATCACTTATTAAATCTTTAAGCTTCCCATTGTGAAAGCATAAATGGTTATTTGTAGTTTACTAACATTTAGAGGTATGGTTTACAAGGGACGTTATAGCCAGATGCCTGAATGATACTAATTTCAATAACTTTTTAAAGGAATGTTTTGGTACCCTGTGGAGATGCACAGCTTGAAATGAAATTACCCGTTGTGGAATCATGTGTCCACTAGGGGTCACGTTATGCTTTTATACAGTGAACGCTTGAGAGCTGGAACTTAATGGGACTGCCTTGTTTTTCTGGGTCTTCCAAGTTTTTTTTACCTTTGACAGGGTGTAGTCTTACCACTTTTCTATCACTTCTTTTAGTGAAAAATATTTGAGTTTTCCTTTTCTGACAGGTTTCTGCCTTACACAGGTTCCAAGTTTCCCAGGTTTTACTGTATTATTTAAACTCTCTTTTTTTCTTGCTAGTGTAAATGAAGCCTACCTCAAAGAAAGACTGAGTTGGGAAAAGCCTATTATGGCTTACTATAAAAATATACTTTAAAAAATAGAGAGAAATCCAAACTCTACTATAACAGAGATCATCCTTATATGTCATGGTTTTATATTTTACAGTTTATTACTCTGCTGGTTAGAAAATCGATTTGTATTATTGAAGTTACAGTGAGATCTTAAAGTACCTAAGTTAGAAATAGAACCTTGTTACTGTCAGCCACAGAATAATTTGCATTTCTTAAAATTATTTCTGAATGGTTGCTAACTAAAAGGTTGGCAGTTCTAATCCACCAGCCGCTCTTTGGGAACCCTATGGGGCAGTTCTTCTCTGTCCTATAGGGTAGCTGTAAGTCAGAATCGACTCAGTGGTAATAGGTACATATAACTGTAGAGTCCTATGTGAATATTTTTCTCAAAAACATCATTTATTCTTATTAATAAGATTGTGGGTTTGGAGTACTACCTACTTGAAGAGTGACCTACTGCATTTTTCCTCAAATAACGCACCCATGTACATAACATGCCCACACATATAACATACACAGAGCTCTTAGGGAAATACTGCATGAGGGGTTACACAATTGGCGAAAAAAGTATACATGTGCATTATTTGTGTAAAAATCTCGTACTTATATTTTCTGGACCTCAATTTCCAAATATGTAAAGTGTAAACAACAGCTATGACAATATTATGAATCTCAAAATTTAAGTTCTATGCAAACGATAAAGTGAACTGTCAGACAACTGCTATTGTTTTTGGCCCACTGAGGGAAAGGCACATTAAGGAATGGAATATGGGAACCTCTAAATTCCTATCCTCTCTCTTCTGATAGTTAGAATAGATAATTTATATTTATGTTTCTGAACTAGCTCTTGTGGTGAATAACAGATATATATTAAATGGACTATCTTTAAGATATTTTAGAAAATCTAAAAATTAACTTTAGTAGGGTGGAAAATTCACTTATGTGGAATTCATTCTATTGTGATGCTTAATGTTACCAGTGTATGTACTCAACAGCCTTAAATGTGGAACTGCAATCTGGTTTAAAAAAAAAAAAGAGTACTCGGGAGTCCCTGGGTGATGCAACAGTTAAGTGCTCAACTATTGGCCGAAAGGTTGGTGGTTCAAACCCACCCAGAGGTCCCTCTGAAGATAGGCCTGGCAATCTGCTCCCAAAACGTCACAGCCTTGAAAATCCTATGGAGCAGTTCTGCTCTGCACATGTGGGTCGTCATGAGTTGGAGTCGACTCGACAGCAACTAACAAAACAATAGCATTCACTGAAAATGTCATCTTTCCCTGCTACTACCAAAAAAGAAAAAAAATGTATCAATTTCTAGCATTTTCACATTTTTGTAAGCTTTTGCAGAACTGAATTTATACATTGTTGTAGTCTTCTTTTTCTAATAATTTTGGTCTGAAGTGGATGATGCCAGAGTTCAAGTAATAAGAAAGTAATGGAGGGATAGGCCAAACAATTATGGTGTTAAATAAAGTTGGCACTCAAAATGTTTTCATTATGTATCAGTCACAAATTAAAAAGGTAATCTTAACCATTGTGTTTATATCAATGTGAGGAAGACTTGATGGACATTTTCAGCTTTGAAAGTTTGAACTTTGGTATGCAGAAACAATTGAGAGCGTAAGCAGAACACCGTTGGTTTAAAACAGGAAGCAAATGTATGAAAAATAGATATATGGTAATCTGTTCTTTACTGTAAATATTTGGTTTTCGCTACTCCCACCTCCTACCTTCCTGTTCTTGCTGATGGCGTTGAGCTCAGATGCAGGTCGGCCTGACCTGGGTTTGCCTGATCCCAAAGCCTTACCATTTTGCCAGGCTGCCTCTTTTTAAAACCTATTGTCGCTATAATATACTATGTATTTGGAATGTTTCCTAATACGTACTTATTATATAGATTTTTTCCCTCATTTTATGAATTTTAGTGGTAAGAATCCCCACTAAAGGTGTATCTTGAATAGAAGCCATCATATAAGGGTTTGAGATCTATTAGATTCCAAGGTTGAGACTTTGCTCTGCCATGTAATCTTCTACAGCATTGGGCAGGTCCCTCAATCTCTGAGTTGTTTTCTTATCTGTTAAATGAAGACAGTCATTTCAATATACAGTTATCGAATGAGTGATCTATTTCATATCTAGCCTACTTATATCAGAAACATTGTTATTTATTTATTTATTTTTTAAGGAGGTGGCATTTTGAAATTTTAAATTCTCTTTCCCTAGATAACAGACAAGAGAGTGTCCAGGAGACATGCCATTCTTGAGGTGGTGGGTGGTCAGCTTCGGATCAAACCGGTAAATATGTTAATTAATTTATTGTATCTTACCCCTTTCAGCTCCTGATTAGAAGTGCTTATTTTTTAAGGTTATGGAAATAGGGAATTAATATCAGAATAATTTCTTAGAGGGAACTGCTACATTTCTATGATTAGAATTTTAATGACAGATGATTACCAGTTCATGTTCACATTATCATTTTGGTCATAACAGGATATTAACAAGATCCTATAAGAAAACCCACAGCTATTTAATGATTTATTTTTGGCAGTGGGATAGGGGCCAAAGTCACTTAAGTATTATAGGGTTGAATTTGAACAAATTTCTATACTTATGTATGCAGAGTTGCGTATTTCTGAAATTTACAACTTGTTGAACTTTAGGGTTTTAAAAATAATTTTAATTTGAACATTTCTGTTGAGGCTAGAACTTTAAATACTTGTTTTATAGTTTAAGTGCTATGCGATTATTCTTTTCCTTTTGCATAATCTGTTGTGTAAACTTGTTGCCATCGAGTCAATTCTGACTCATAGCAACCCTAGAGAATGAAATATGTGTATTAGGGGCCATTTAAGACTAGACAGTGGTGGTGAAATTATTATCATGCAACTGAATTCATTTATTTATAACATTCTTGTACCTATTTGTATTTTCATCTTATATGTAGTAGTTCTTTATATTATACAGATAGTACTTCCTTTCACTATTCTATGCTGAACCATTCCCAAATTTGACAAGTATCCTTTTAACTCTAGTATTGGAAAAATTCTTAAGTAAAGCTGAATTCATCCCATTTAAACTATAAATATTTTTAAAAAAGATTTTGGTCTCACATTCTCATTCTGCAATTGTCTTCATGTTTTGAAAAGTGTTGATGTTTGTGGCCAGCGCTCCTGTGGGAGCCCCTTTATTTCCCATTAGTTATTTATCTTTGTTTCCTCTCTGAATGTCTTGTTCTTCTTAGATGAGACTTACAGATCATAAGCTCCTTGAGTATAGAGACTCTATAATCTTTATATCCCTAATATCTAGTATAATGCCTAGCAGATAGTAAATATTTTCTGAATGCCTGAATAAATGCTGCAGTGAGAAATGTATATGGCATTTTTAGGATTGGACACTGTGACGGTTAAGGTTTTACGTCAACTTGGCTAGGCCATGATCTCAGTGGTTTGGCAGATGTTGTGTAATCATCCTCCATTTTGTAATCTGATATGAGCAGCCAATCAGTTAAAAGGGAAGTTTCCTTGGGGGCATGGCCTGCATCCGATATATATGGATGTTCTGGCAAAGCTTGCTCTCTTTTGATCCTGCGTTCGATTCTGTATTTGTTTCGTCATCCTCTGACCTCTGATTCTTGGGATGTGAGCCAGCAGCCTGCCCCCTGACCTGCAGATTTTGAGTTGGTCAGCGCCTGCTGCCATGTGAGTCAGGAGAAGCCCCCAGCCTGCCGCTGACCCATGGATTTGGGACTTGCCAGCCTCCATGGTTGTGTGAGCCATTTCCTTGTAACGAATCCCTGTGTCTATATTTATATATACGCTTCACTGGTTTTGCTCCTCTAGAGAACCTTGCCTAAGACAGAGACATTTTGGAGTTTTGCAAAATTATGTTATTTTTCAATACCCAATTTCTTACTACCTTTCCGGTAAACTACTACGGTCTAAAATGAAGTTTCTGTAGTTATCGTTACTGAGCAACTGAAGGACATTAGATAAAGAATACAGGTACATCTAAATTCCTGTTCGGTCTTTTGTGATGAAAATTTAGAAACTTCCAGAGCTGGCATTGGATATCCATGGGAAAGAGGACAATTTTTTCAATAAATGGTATTGGCACAGTTGGTTCTTTGTTTGGAAAAAAATAAATTAGACCTCTACCGCAAGCCATACCCCAAAATCAATTCCAGGTAGATAAAATCTGTAAGTCAAAACTGTAAGCTATAAACTGTTAGAGAAGAATATAGGGAAAAAACCTTTATGACCTTAGGATAGGTAGGGAAGACTTTTTAAACAAGATGGAAAAAGCAGAGATCATAAACTAATATTGAAACAAGTCAATTACATTAAAATAAGAACCATTGTTTTATCAAAAGACACTATGATGAAATAAAAAAAAAAACAGGGAAAAGATATTTAAAACACAAGTATTTGGCATATAATTGACAAAGGATTGATATTCAAAGATCACTAATTTATATTTACTTTTTTGAAGTAACACTTGTGGCTAATAATATACCTGGCTCCTCAAGTGAAAGACCCATGACTTAATAGTGACTTTGTACACTGTTTAGATTCACTTCTCTAAAACTCTTATTAATGAAATGAGGAGCTTACAGTGAGTACTTAATTTTTTGATAATTAGGACATTTAAATAAACCTTAATGATTAGATTTCTAGTTATTTTTGATACCAAAGCAAAGAATGTTGGTTCCTGCAGTCAGTTTATGGATTTTTCTAGATTTGTATTGTTAATAGTCCAATCCTACTGAAAACTATGTATGTAAATGTCACAGAAAGTGAACTAATAAACCAATAGTGCTTATTACTTCACTTATAAAGACACTCTTGTAACTCCTGTTGTTTTCTTGCAGTTTTGCTTTTGCTCCAAATGACATCTGAAAAATTTATGATATTAGAATAGTTGTAAATCATGAAAAGTTGTGAATTATGAAATGATTCATTTTAAGAACTCAGCACTTAATATCTGAGCACGTTAATCAACTGATTTGTGAACAACTGAATAAATACTAGATTTTCTCTTTACCCCCTTATTTACTCAATGCTGAAAAGAAACTATTCGTATAATAAAATTTACATAGCATTAAAATTTTTATATATAAAAAATAGACCACTAGGAAGCCATCATTTATACTAACGCATGAATATTTTAAAACCTGATTTACATTTTTTTCTCATTGTCAATCAAGGACATTTATACTTTAAAGATTAGAATGTTTTCCAAATTGACGGAATAAACATGCTTAATTGGAGTTGTGTCTATACCTCGATGAAGAGTATTCAGATATATTTTGAGCTTCTGTGGCTATTTGAAAGAGTACTAATGATCTAAAATAAGTATGCTGAAATTAAAGGTTATTTTATTAGTGGAAAATTCTCTTTTTGAGTTAAACTTTATCCAGTCTATCGTGGGTCAAATTTCTGTGTGGGAGTTTAGGAATGATCAGTTAAAAGAAGACACCTTTTAGAAAGCATTCTTTGCTCTTGCTTAGTCTTTATTTAGATCATAAAACAAATATATGAAGTCAACAAGTATCTGCTACTACAATATTAGAAGTCAAAGCAAAAATTCCTCTTAAAATTATAGATATAAAACTAAAATTTTGAATGATAATGTCTATTTAAATTGTACTACCTCTGTTTACATTTTTAAATATCCTTTAGTACAATTTTATGAACATACTAGTAAATGTGATCTTATGGACATGGGAGAAAGGTAAATATTTTTTATCCTTTTCTTGATACCATTATTTTTGACAACTCTCTCAAGGCCCTCTGGAGAATGACTGATTCTACACAGTAAGTTTAGAATGGGAATTGGAACCCTGTGTAGGTTCTTGGAGCATTATGTAGAATTATTATTATTTTTTCCATTATCTCATGCTTCCCAAGACAGGATTCTCTTGTCATTGGATGCTCTCTTCTTTAAAATGATTTCTTGAACTTATGATGGATTGTTGATTTATCCTAACATAGTTGACATAGAATTTTAAAACTGAGACTCATGTATGTGGAAATGTGGTTTGGGCCAGAGATGGCAATGTATATCAGTGAGGAAGAGCACTTTTTTTTTTTCCCAATAAATGGGAAGTTAGTTATTTGTTTGGAAAAAAAATACATTAGATCTCTACCTTAAGCTAGACCCAGAAATCAATTCCAGGTAAATTAAATGCAAAAGTCAAAACTACAAAACTGCCAGATGATAAGGAAAAAACCTGTATGACCTTAGGGCAAGGTCGGGTTGTAAAACGAGATATAAAAAGCAAAAATCATAAGATTGAAGATAGTCAATTAGGTAGTCAATTACATTAAATTTAAGAACCGTTGTTTCTCAAAAGACACTGTGATGAAAATGAAAAGTACAACAGGGAGAAGATACTCAAAAAACATAATTGACAAAGGATTGCTATCTAAAATACATAGTACATTCCTTTATTCAATGAGAACAAGGTAACAGTTCAATAGAAAATGGACTAAAGACTCGAATGGCACATTCCAGAAGTGGAAACCTGACTGTTTAATAAGTATGCTCAAATGGTGTTCAGCCTCCTTATTAAGGGGAGAAATGCAAATGAAACTATAATGAGTTATGATTTTATACACATCAGATTTGCAAAAATTAAAAAGATCTAACAATTTCAAGTGTTGGTGAGGATGAAGAACAACTGAAATAGTTACACACTGTGAGTGGAAGCTTAAATGGTACAGCCACTTTGAAAGATTGTTTAATATTATTTTTAATGATGAAGGCACGTGTTCCCTACCAGTCAGCCTATTACACACATGAACCAAGAGATATGTGCAAGAATCTCCATAGCAACATTGTTTATAATGGCAAAAACTACTAGCAACATAAATTTCCATTAATGGTAGAATTGATGGCATATACTGTGGTATATTCATATAATGACATACTACAGCAGTGCGAATGAATAAATTATAGTGAAAACTTGAAAAACACTTGAATTAAAATCAGTAATGTGCTATTAAATGATAAAGGCAAGCATAGGAAGAACATACATGTATATACACACCCACATAGGCATACATATAGTATGGCTCCATTGATATAAAATTAAAAATCTTGCAAAATAAACAATATACTCTGGGTCATAAACATAGTGATGAAACCATAAAGAAAAGCAAGGAGATAACAAACACAAAAATCAGAATAATAGTTACCTCCAAGGGGACTGAAAAGAGAACGGGATAGGAAAGGACTCACAGGGGACTGCAAAGGTAATGGTAGTTTTCTTTTTTCTTAGACTGGCTGGTAGA